GGAAGCAGAGCTCTGACTTGGGCTTCTCCCTTCCCCTCTCTGTCCCCCCGCCCCCCACCGCAGGGGAAGTTCACCACGGCCAGCGACGTCTGGGCCTTCGGGGTCACGCTCTGGGAGATGTTCACGCTGTGCAAGGAGCAGCCCTACAGCCTCCTCTCGGACGAGCAGGTCATCGAGAACACCGGGGAGTTCTTCCGGAGCCAGGGCAGGCAGGTGAGGCAGCGCCCCCGGCCCCCTCCCTCTCCCTCTTCCTGCCTCTGCTGTCTTTCATCTCTTGCCCCTCCGGCAGCTGCCCCACCCCTCCCCCTTCCCCCCAGAGCTGGGGCATGTAGCCTCGTCCCCTCACTTCCAGGGGACCCCAGAATGTGCACTGGCCTCATAGCCACGCCCGTGGCCCCATCAGGACCTTTAGACCAGCCCCTGCTGCTGTTAAAGGGCAGGGGGAGCCACCGCAGTTGGAAAGTGCTTCCAGAAGCTACTCCAGTGTGAAGCGGTGGGCGCTCAGTCCCGGACTTCGCACGTTTGTGCTCTTCGCTTAATCGTGAAAAGCCCGGAGTGGCAATGAACCCAGCCACTCCCCTTTGTAACTGCTGGTTCGGCTTTCTCCTTGCAACTTTGATAAGTTTCAAATGCTGCATTTTAATAATATCAAAACAAAATATTGCTCCGTTATCAAATGAACTGTGGAGATTTTAACTTCTTGTGCGTGTGTGTTGATTTGGAACAATCCTTTAAAACCTGTCCTTTCTGGAGGAGGGTCCTGTTTTCTGGTCAGAGCCCAGCGCTCGCCCGAGCTGACAGCACCCCCACACAGCTAATGCACGTGCATGTATCTGCTTCTTCTTGGTGGGGCTGACACAGAAAAGGACAGTGGAACTTTACGTGCCCGGACGAGGTCGCTCCAATCCGTGTTTCGATAAACATGGCTGTTCGCTGCCTTGAGAACCTAGAGCAGAGGCAGCCGACTGTTGTTATTTGGGTAGTGAATAACACTGACGTGCTTCTTTGTTTTTCCTGCTTGCAGATCTATCTGTCCCAAACCCCTCTGTGTCCAAACGCTGTGTTTGACCTGATGTTAAAGTGTTGGAGCCGAGATATAAAGGATCGTCCCACTTTTGATATGATTCACCACTTTTTGGTCGAACAAATGGATGGTACTGTTTGACCTGAGCGGCAAAGAGACAAATTGCTGAGAACAGGATGACTTTGGTGGTGTCTCTTGGTGCCTGTTTCTCCCAAAGAGATGGGCAGGCAGCCCTCACTATACGCTCCCTTAGACTGTAATCTCTTTTAAATTGAGAGATCCATGGCAGCTGCTCATTTTATTGGCCATGGTCTGACACACATGACCAGAAGCAACCTATCGTGTTGATAGAAGACTCGTTTCCTGTTCTGCGTATTTTCCTGGGAATACTGTGAGGGGGGTTTCTTTGGCACCCCACGGCTACAGACACCTGTGGACAAAACAAACTGGAGAAGACTTTACAAAGGACTCCAAGCTCTCCCCGAAGAGATGAGAAGAGAAGGACAACAGAGCAGGAGCTAGGACTGGAAGAAAGGATGTGGAAGAAAATCATGGCTCCAGTCTTCTAAAAATATAGAAGCTCCGTGCACGTTAGCAAGCAAGTCAGTATGTCTTTGCTAAAGAAGATATAGATAATGTAACTAACGAGAAATGAATAGAAAAGGCAGTGGTTAAAGGGACTGGAGAACCAGAGTTAGATGTCGAGACCTTTGGAGGTAGTATGATCAGGGACTGCAGATGATGTGGATAGAAGAGTTCACGCTCATGTCCTTTTACTCCTGTGGTTATTAAGCACTGCGTTTGTCATAGATGTGCCTTTTCCCACACTGGATTTTTATCTTAAAAAAAATGAATGTCAAAGGTCGTAGGAAGATCACTGTAGTAGAGGATCTTCCTTTGGCCTACAAATAAAAGTTTGGGGTAGAGGTTTGTATTGGAAAATAGCTGATACTGTACTACTGTCTCTAGGTAGATTTATTATCCTTATGAACTTGTAGCCAGAATGGACTGATGTGCAATGAATCCTGTATAAATACCCATTAATATGAGATGTCTTGGTCGATGCTGTTGGAGAGTGGGAGGATGTGCATGTCTGGGGAGGCGAAGTGGGCGAAAGTGGAATCGCTGGGCCGTTTGTCGGAGCCCCGTGCACGCTGAGCACATGGGAGAGACCGCCTCGCCCGGCAGCATCTGCCTCTCTGTGCGGGGTGACTTCTGGGCAGCCTGTGGGACATTCCTGTTCTACCACAGAGGTACACGGGCACTGGGCCCATCGGGAGGGCTCCCTCTGGCATCAATAGGAGAGGCAGACGCCCCTGATGCGAATGCCGTTGCTAAGCGATTAGGTCACAGAGTGCTCTTTCCCAAGGATTTATACTGCTCCAAAAATCCTTCCGGAGGGAGGCAAAGAATTCCAGGCCTATGCTGCAGCCGCCTTCCATTGCTGAGTGATCGGCCGTCCAGGCGGATGGCCCTCCGTGTTCTTTTTAATGGACCAAATGAAAAATCTCCCAGAATGGAGAAGGGGAGCATGGAGCACTTCCTTCTCCAGGCTTTTAAATTCTTATAAAGCCCCAAATTTGGAGCCGGAATTTAGTCTGAACCTCTCCTGACCACAAGCCTATTCTGCCCACAGCCAGAGCATGGGCTGGCGTGAGGAGCACTGGGTATTGACAGGAGACCATCAGGCAAAAGGAAAGTGCCGACCGCTACAGTGAGAGACTAATGAGGACTGTTGTGCGCTAGAAGAAAATCCTGGTGCAGAATTGGCTCCGAACTGTCCTGTGATGCATCCGTACATTTCTGCCGTTTGCTTCTTCGGAGATCAAGTATCCTGAAGTCTGTAACAAAGTTAACCAATTAGATCTCCTATGCAAATAACTGCATCCTGATTGGCTCTTCAGAAGCTAACAGTTTTTCTTGCTTCAGCCAGTCAGTTCAGTCATGCAACGATCTGCTTCCTGGCTAATAGGAAGTAAAAAATCGTTCTCACAGCCACAGGAGAGAGATCTAACTACTTCTGATTTAAAGCATTCAGAATATGCAAGCATCCGCAAACTGGCTTTTTGTGTTTATTCACGTCAGGGTTTAGTTTCCCTCAATTTAAATATTGACTCATACAACATTTGTCTCTCATATCAATAAATCTTGATGGTAAACTCAACAGAAATGAATTGCTCCTTATTGTCTCAGTTTCTGCTTTGGGAACATATGTCTAGAGCGACAAGCTGTAGTGTTGAATGAACGGCAGTTTGTGACCTTGGAATGAATAGCCATTGGCCGTTGCATGAAATGGACACAGGAGAGTGGTTTTAAGCTTAATTTGAGAAGAAAGGCCTGTCGTTCATGCCGAGTTGACAAGGGCTGAAGGAGGAATGGCAGCATTGTTGTACTAAAATATTGCCCAGGATCTTTTCAGGGGGATAAGGCAAAACACCACATTTATTGGTGACAAGTATCAGAGGGGTAGCCGTGTTAGTCTGAATCTGCAAGAACAACGGCAAGTCCTGTGGCACCTTGTAGACTAACAGATTTATTGGAGCATAAGCTTTCGTGGGCAAAGACCCACTTCGTCAGATGCACGTACTGGAAATTCCAGAGGCAGGTATAAATATACAAGCATAAGAAAAGAGTTCCAATCAAGAGTAAGGCTGGAGATAACGAGGTCAATTCAGTCAGGGAGGATGAGGCCCACTTCTAGCAGCTGATGTGGAGGCGTGAACACCCCAGCCAGTCTTCATCTTTCCCTTTTAGGATCCCCATCCAATTTACAGTTTCTCTTTGAAGTCTGGTCTTGACATTTCTTTGCTGCAGGATGGCTCCCTTAAATCTGCTATTGTGTGTCCAGGGAGATTGAAGTGCTCCCCTACAGGTTTTTGTGTATTGCCATTCCTGATATCTGATTTGTGTCCATTTATTTTTTTACTTAGGGACTGTCCAGTTTGGCCGATATATATAGCAGAGGGGCATTGCTGGCACATGATGGCGTATGCTACATTGGCAGATGTGCAGGTGAATGAACCCGTGATGCTGTGGCTGATCTGGTTAGGTCCTGTGATGGTGTTGCTGGTGTGTATATGTGGGCAGAGTTGGCACCGAGATTTATTGCAGCGATTGGTTTCAGAGTGGCAGTTACTGTGGTGTGGTGTATAGTTGCTGGTAAGAATTTGCTTCAGGCTGGTGGGTTGTCTGCGGGCAAGGCCTGGCCTGCCTCCCAAGGCCTGTGAGAGTGGGGGATCATTGTCCAGGACAGGTTGTAGATCGCTGATGATGCATTGGAGAGGTTTTAGCTGAGGACTGTAGGTGATGCCAGTGGTGTTCTGCTATTTTCTTTGTTGGGCCTGTCTTATTGCAGGAGGCTTCTGGGTATATGTCTGGCTCTGTTGATCTGTTTCCTCACTTCCTCAGGTGGGTACTGTAGTTTCAAGAATGCTTGGTGTCGATCTTATAGGTGTTTGTTTCTGTCTGAAGGGCTGGAGCAAATGCGGTTGTACTTGTCTGTAAATGATGGATCGTGTGGTGTGTCCAGGATGGAAGCTGGAGACATGGAGGTAGGCATAGCGGTCTGTAGGTTTTCAGTATAGGGTGGTGTTTAGGTGACATCACTTACTTGCACTGTAGTGTCCAGGAAGTGGATCTCTTGTGTATACTGGGCCAGGCTGAGGTTGATGGTGGGGTGGAAATTGTTGAAATCACAGTGAAATTCTTCCAGAGACTCCTTCCCGTGGGTCCAGATGATGATGATATCATCAATGTAGCGTAGGTAGAGAAGGGGCATTAGTGGACAAGAGCTGAGGAAGCAGGTTGTTCCAGGTCGGCCATAAAAACGTTGGCATGTTGTGGGGCCATGCAGGTGCCCATAGCGGTGCCACTGGTTTGGAGGTATAAATTGTCCCCAAATCTGAAATAGTTGTGTCACAGAGCTATCAACATTTATTGGTAATACAGATAGCAATCAACACTTATCATGTGCATTTTATATATTACCCCTCCTCCCCACAAATACACACACACACACATGCACACTCGTCTTCTTGTCGTGGCCAATAGTTGCTCCTTCTAACTGCACTGGCCCAGGTGAGTTAGGTCGGGGAGGGGTGGAGTTGGACTCCTGTCGATCTGCATCGGTGCTCCCATGTTGACAAGATGAAACCCAGGGTCCCCCTGCAAGATTCCTTTGATTTATAGTAGCTCCCCTCGCAAGCAAATCAATCATCTTTGGCATATGCAAAATGTGTGAGAGTCGTCATCTGCATGTGCAGTTAGTCACATGTGGCACCTTCTTCTGGGGGATGTTGCAATGCTGCCACATTCATTTCCAAGGAGGGGGCTTCCAAAAGCAGGCACTTGCTCCTGACTCCCAAGGCGGCCATAGGTCCAGTCTTCTTCCAATGGACCCACTTGACAGGTCTCATTGTTTTTGGATCTGGCTTCCATCCCTTCCCCAACTGTTGCAACTGCCGGGAGCTGCTTGCCTTTCGCCTTATCCATTCACTCAACAGGGCGTACAAGAGACAGTTTCTATGTCAAAGGACTTGATACAAAGTTAAAAATGTCAGCGAGAGAATGATTAATACCGAGCTGTACTCCAGCGTAACCGCAGTGCTCTGATGTCGTGGGTCACCTCCCCCTAAACGTCTCACTTCTTTCCGGGAGTATTTTTGTCCTTGTTTTAGTAGCTCAACACATTCCGGTGGGAGGAACGGTATCAGGGAGCATTACAAGCAACCCGAGGTGGCTGCAGCGGGAGCAGCCAATCAGGGCTCGGGAGGGCTATGTAAAAGGAGTTGCCACTGGAGCCAGTCAGTTCCTTGCTGGAGCTAGAGGGGTGCCCGTGGAGCTCCTGGCTGGCCGAAGGGAGCTCAGCACCATGGACAGCACAGTGCTGGCAGGGACCCGGCAGTAGAGCGCAGCTCTTGGCTGGCTCCTGGCTCTGAACCTGGAGAAGCCTTGTGGTAAGTGAAAGGGACATGGTGGTTGCTATTCTTAGGTCCCTTGGGCTGGAACCCAGAATAGCGGGTGGGCCTGGGTCCATCGCCCATCCCCTCCCCCCATGGGGAACGGACCTACAGTCAAACAGCAAGAAACCCCCCAAGAGGGACTAAGCTACCTAGTGGCCCAGGTAGAGCTTGGGCCAGAATAGGCCAAGAGGCATGAGATCAGACACATCCTACCAGCCAGGCACGCATGAGAGGCGTGTGCCCTGCTGCTACATTTGGTACCAGAAGTGGGATCCTTTCGACTGACCCCCAGCCCACAAGAAGCATGGCCATGGAGGAGGCACTCTGCCTATTGGTGGCAGGCCGGCAGCAGACCCAGGCCCTGCTCCTCAAGTTAATGGAGAATGTGCTGAGGCAGCAGGAGGCCCAGTTCATAGTCAAACAACAATGGTAGGAGGGAGAGAAACGATCCAAGCAGTACAGTAAACGGAGAGGGGTGCACCAGGGCTGGCGAACGAGGGCTTCTAGACGCAGAGGGGCACTGTAACAGCAGGGGGTCCAGGGAGCCCTGCAGCCTATGGCAAGTACTATTTGGAAGGAGCTAGGAGAACCGGTTGTCTGCTACCGCTGTGACCAGCCCGGGTATATTAAAAGGAACTCCCCGGTCATGTAATGCAACTACTCAAACTGTTAGAGTGGGACCAATCAGTAGGGGGTGTAACCCAAAGATCAGGGTGCTTGCTGTAGGTCAGCTGGAAGGAACGGTAGTGGAGGGTCTGGTAGACTCAGGGTGTAGGTACATCTTGGGTTGGGAAGACCAGCCTGGACTGACACTTCCCATGTCTCTTACGTGTATGGGGAGACCCCGAGCCTGTCCCATGGCAGAATGAGCTGGAGGTGCAGGGCTAGAGAGCTAGATTCCAGGTCAGCATGGTCCAGGAGCTCACAGAGCCAGCAATCTTGGGGAAGACCTGAGTGTGTGACTCAGCCCTTGTGTGGGAAAGACCTGGACAGCAACCCGGGACTGAGAGGGTCTGGGCCCAGATGAGGAAGAAAACCCGATTTTCTCTGGAGGTGGGAGACAGGGGAGGGATCCCTGTTGTGTTCCCTCCCTCGGTGGCACCGGGCACTGGCCACTGTGGGCAGACAGGATACTGGGCTGGATGGACCTTTGGTCTGACCCAGTCTGGCCACTCTTATGAGGAGCCAGGGTAAGGAGACCCCAGGAAAGCCCCCAGAGACGAGACCACGATGCCCACAACATGAGGGACCTGCTGAGGAAGCACCGACAAGAGTTGGAGGCCAATGTTTCTCCTGGGAAAGCCAACGGGCCTGAGTAGAGCAGGCGCTGGCCTGGGCCCCGGCCAAAGCCCAGGTGCAGAGGGAGCAATGCCTGGTTTTGCAGGAAGCAGTGACCCAGGCCCAGAGGGAGAGGACTGAGGCCCAGCAGGGAACAACGGGTTCCCCGACAGAGCTCGGTGCAGGATGCTGTGGGGGCTCCATCTGAAATACCCAGGTGCTAACATTTCCTTACTGGACCGGGCGTTCCATTCACATCAGGCTCTGGGTCTCAAATCCCAGGGAGAAAAACATCCCGCGGCCCCACCGGGATAGCCACGCCCAGTGGGCAGGCAGAGACCCGTGGCTAACACAATATCACTGTACAACGCCCGTGTTCCTCACAGTGACCAGAACAGGAGCAGCCAGAGGGCTGGAGGGAATCCTAGCGACAGATGGATATTAGGGTGGGCAGAGACCTCAGGCGTCATCCAGTCCAGCCCCCTGCCCCAAGCAGGACCAAACCAACTCAGTCATCCCAGTCAGGACGTAAACACCTCGAGGGATGGAGATTCCACCCCCTCCCTCGGGAACCCAGCCCAGTGCTTCCCCCCCCCCCAGGGAAATAGTTTTTCCTAATCTCCACCCTAGACCTACCCCACTGCCACTTGAGCCCTTGCTCCATGTTCTGCCACCTGCCCCCACTGAGAACAGCCTCTCTCCAGCCTCTTTGGAACTTCCCTTCAGGAAGTTGCAGGCTGCATCAAATCCCCCCTCACTCTTCTCTTCGGCAAACCAAACAAGCTCTACCTCGTAGAGCTGAGCAGCCTGTGTGTCTCCGTGGCTCACCAGGATCCTGGCAAGCCTGGGGGTTCTCACAAGGCACGTTTCTGAATGTTTCACTCCGCTGTCAGGCCTTCCAGCATAAAGTGGAAAACTACTGGGCTCTCCTGAACTTACTGCTACTGGCTTGGCCTGCTCAGAGATCACCTTCCAGCCCTCGATTTCATCCCGGCACCAGTTACTGGGGCATGCAGTTCTCCACTCAGCCAGTTCCTCTGCAACCCCCTTGCACACCACCTGTGTTTGAGTTCAGAAGCCAAGGCCCTGAACTGCTGATGCAGTGGCCACAGAAGCAATCTGAGTTTCCCTGTCTGTGGCTGACAGCCTCCTGGTGACAGGCCCCTAGATCCCGACTGATGACCAATGTGCAGCTGGGTCAGGAAGTGGTTCTCCAAAAGCAGGGAGTGTCCATGGAGGCACCTGGCAACAGGACCTGGCTGCTCCAGAAAGTTTGAACTGGCAGCTTCCAGCCAATTGAGCCCACAGTGGTGGAAGTTGAATGGCCAGCGAGGCTGTTTTTACTGTGTACGCAGCACTGAGGCAGCCTGAGGAGGATTAATCTGGTTAGTGTGTTTGGAACACGATACTGAACTTCAACAAAGTTCTGAGAAGTAAAAAATTCTGCCTCATTCATGGAGCCACGAGGGTTTGCAGTCCCATGACTTAGACAGGCTCGAAAACCTTTCCTGTTAGGACACAGGTTGTGGGTCAGTTATGCTATAGGTTGTATAGAGCACAGGTTGTAGGTTAGTTAAGCTACAGGGAGCACTCTTTTAAAAGCGAGCTAGCTAACATGATTTGAAGCACCTTGTACAGACACAGTTTAATAACTTTACAGTCATGTTAGCTGGGTATGTTGTACTGTCAGTGAAAGCTACATGACATAGGCTACTACACAACCTGCTAGCACAACTTTAAAGGTGTTAAACTGCCTACAGCGGTGTTCAGGGGCTTTGCCCGTTACACTAACACAAGTAAGGTGGTCAAATCTAAGGAAAGCCCTTCTGTTCATCATCCTGGCCTGACCCTCGGGTCACGGCTGTGCTTGGCCCGTTGTCTGGATCAACCTACACAGACAAGTGGTGAGTTCAGGGCTTCGTGTGGTGTGAAGTGCAATGAGTCTATTAAATTTTCTGGCTCTGCTGCTGCTGTGGCATCTTCACAATGGTTGCCAAGGCAACTCAGTTGCCTTGGCCTCACCCTGTATCTGAAGCTGCCCCTTGTAAGTTGAAGACCCAAGTACCGATGCGGAGCAACCATGAGTGACCCACCGAAAAGCAGCCTCTTCACCCCTGACCCTTACTACATCCCGGGGTGAGTTCTGCCTCGCACAGGGAACTTAGCACTTAGTGGAGGAAGGAACTTGCTGTAATGGAGGGCGGGGGGGGCAGGGCGGTGGGATGTGTTCACACGAATTGTGATCTTTATCCTGATAGAATTAAACTCTCCATTTAAAAGTGCACTGACCGAGGCAGGGGAACATTAGTGCCTGATGTAGTTAAAGGTGCTATAACATGCTAGAGAATGAAGTGAGGTCTGGCATTTCCTAGCCTGGGAGAGCTGGACTTTGCAACGTCAACGTTCTTTTAACATGGCTTTCGGGTGTGCAGTATGCACGTGTGTATGCCTGGCTGGGAGGGGGGGTTTAATGCACATGCATGTTGTAGATGGGGCTGCTTGCAGATCTTAGTAGGGTTGCCTGACACGTCCTTTCATTAGACACTATTTTCAATAGCTCATGACTTTCATTGTCTGGGCTGGAGTTTTCCATGCAGGGCATCTGTTTTGGGATTTTCCTCGGCGATCTTCCACCCAAATGGTCCATGTGTTTCCAAGAACCGAGCTGAGGAAAAAGGTTTTGCCCACAGTAAATTCTGGTGTCTCTTTCTTTTAGAGCCTACTGCTCTATGCTTTGGAGCCGGGTGTGAAATTCCTTTTCCCATCCCTTTGACCAAGTCAGAAGACTTTGAAAACCTGCAGGTTACACGTGCTGGAGCTTTGCAGCCTTCCCCTGCACTGAGCAGGCTGGTCTGGTCTGTCCCTTTAATTGCGGGTCTGGGCTGGGCCAGAGACAGAACCACGACATGAAAGCATGGAGTCTAACTCTGCTGCTCTCGATTGAGGACAAGGAGCATGGGGGACGTGACTAGGGACTGGGAATAGATGTGGACAGGCTGGGCAAGGAAGGTGGGACTGGAAACAAGGAAGGGCAGGAGAAATAGGGGGATGGGGAGGAGACAGATTTGATCAGGATCTGGAAGGAGGGGAACTGGGACTGGCTGGACATGGACCCTGTGCATAGGAATAGGGGATTGCTACAGGCTGGGGACCGACTGGCTAAGCAGCAGTTCGGCAGAAAAGGCCCTGGGGATTCCAGTGGATGAGAAGCTGGCTCTGAGTCAACAGTGTGTCCGTGTAGCCAAGCAGACTAGCGCCGTAATAGGGTGCATGAGGAGGAGCATTGCCAGCAGATCTAGAGAAGTGATTATTCCCCTTTATTCAACTCTGGGGAGGCCACATCTGGAGTATTGTGTCCAGTTCTGGGCCCCCCACTACAGAAAGGACGTGGACGCATTGGAAAGGGTCCAGTGAAGGGCAACCAAAATGATTGGGGGGGCTGGAGCACATGGCCTATGCAGAGAGGCTGAGCAATTTGGGTTTGTTTAGTCTGCAGAAGAGCAGAGTGAGGGGGGATTTGATGCAGCCTGCAACTACATGAAGAGAGGTTCCAAAGAGGATGGAGAGAGGCTGGTGACGCCCTGGGCTGGGTTCCCTGGGGAGGGGGTGGAATCTCCATCCCTAGAGGTGTTTAAGTCCCAGCTGGACAGAGCCCTGGCTGGGCTGATTGAGTTGGGGTTGGTCCTGCTTTGGGCAGGGGCTGGACTCGATGGCTCCTGAGGTCTCTTCCAACCCTAGTTTTCTATGATTCGGTGATTTGGTAAGCGAGGTGCCAAGCAACCTGGGCTGGGTTCCCTGGGGAGGGGGTGGAATCTCCATCCCTAGAGGTGTTTAAGTCCCAGCTGGACAGAGCCCTGGCTGGGCTGATTGAGTTGGGGTTGGTCCTGCTTTGGGCAGGGGCTGGACTCGATGGCTCCTGAGGTCTCTTCCAACCCTAGTTTTCTATGATTCGGTGATTTGGTAAGCGAGGTGCCAAGCAAACAATATGTATTGCAATATGAACAAACGTGGAATTCAACGTCTAGGAACAATGCACGTAAGTCCCACTTACAGGATGTGGACTCTATCCCGGGCAGCAGTGACTCTGAAAAGTGGACAAGTAGCTGGACACGAAGGCTCTGTGGTGCTGTGGCCAAGGGCTAATGTGCTATCTGGATGCATAACTAGGGGACTCTCAAGTATAAGACGGTACGTTATGGGACCTCCGCATTTGGTGCTGGTGCAACCGCTGCTGAAGTACTGTCCCTGTTCTTGTCCGCACACGCAAAGGTGCTGATTGCAGCTCTGCCCGTGGGTGCTGTTGGGGCGGCGTCTGTGTTGGGGAAGGATGGGAGTAGACGCTCTGCCAGATTGCGGAGCAGGCTATTTTCAGCATCTTTCTACACTCCTTTCATATCCGAGTTACTGAATGTGTCCACCTTTGGAATCTTTCCCACTTTAGTAATTATTGCCAGAGTCCAGTGGCAAAACCAGTATGTGATTAATCACGTAATTAAAGACTGTCATCATGAACACACATCAGAGAGTGGAATTAACCTTTTGGTGTGTGATATGTGTTGCTATAGGATAGGAATTGTCTGGGTTTTGTTTGTTACTAAAGATGTCCTCGAGTGGCGTATTGTCAGGTTTTGTCTTTGTTTGTTGTAGTTAAGCTCAGCTTAACATTTATTTGTAATATTTCATAGAGTCCAAGCTCCCAGGTACATATGCTGTGATCAAATCACCTTTAACCTTCTCTTTGTTAAGTTAAATGGATTCAGCTCCTTGAGTCATTCACCTGAAGACGTTTTCTAATCTTGTAACGGGCCTTAGAGACACAGGATTGCTTGAGGCAAAGGAGCAAACAAACCGTGTAGTCACACGTTGGCTCTGAACAAAAGCGCCAACACAAAATGATTTTCTTCGTGGTCTAGTGAACTGAGCCATAGTAACACAAATATCTGAAATGCCAACTCAGCGGAGGTGCCAGGCGCCCTGTGAGCAATTTACTTGCTACTTGGTTACAATTCTGTTTGTTGCAGCAAACTTTGGTTCTAGTTGTTGTTACAGTGTGACCATGGGCTGTTAAGAGCAACGTGCTATTGGCATCTGTCTGTACACTCGGTGTCCTTAACTCCCTACTAGAATAGTGATAGAAATGTAGCCGTGTTAGTCTGATTTAACTCCCTACTAGAATAGTGATAGAAATGTAGCCGTGTTAGTCTGATTTAACTCCCTACTAGACTGTATCTTCCTAGAACTTTTCCTTGAAACACAAATCACTTATGTATTTTTACAGCATGTTACTGGAGTCTTTTGAAATCCCCTTCTTATAGCAGAAGGGCAGGAATTGTTTAAAGGTAAAAAGCTCTTTTTGTTCATTTTGAGACCACAAGTAAACCCAGAGCATTTGGAGAGTGTCCAGTATTCGCTGTTCTTACAGGCTGCGATCGCAAACCCAAACCGGAGTGTCAGGCCGTCTGGAGGGGCGCACGACCATGAAGACGTGAAAACCGGGCAGACACCCCAAACTAGTGGCATGTTAAATTAGACCTGACTAATCCGCTAACAAATGCAGACTCCTAGGTCACTGTAACAGCCTTACTCTGAGGTCACAGATACTCCCTTGGGGCTCTCCAGTCTATGCTGCCACCTGGGCAAACTAGACTTTGTGATACATGGTCACTTTATACACTGTGTGACAGACACTCCCTTCCCCCCCATGCTTTTGGAAATGGACACATGGACATGAATATGCATAACTCAAAGGTGGTTTGAGCAAAATATTTCATGTAACCCATCGATCTTCATGTAATGACCTGTTTATTTTACTCTGTTGTATGTAGCATTTGAGTGTGGAAAATTAGACACATGGAGTGGGGAATACTTTGTGAGTTTCCAGTGTGTAAATGGGAGACATGAAAGGTTTTTTCTGAAATTTCTAGATGAGCCACTGTTAAACAATCTTTTGTCCTTAAGTCTGAGCAGGGGTTGGTAGGGAGGGGCCTCAACTCCTTAACACAAGGAGTAGGAAAGGAGAGGCCTGGGTCTTTTGACGGGGCTGCCCCTGAAGGAAGGGGCCAAGGACCCCAGGGTGTGGAGGACAGCCCTGGTTTGGAGGGGCAGCTGGAAAAGAAGTTTTAGGGTCTGAGTCCGTCACAATCCTGGTTGCTTCCAGTCCTGAGAGACTAGTCACTTACCCCAGATCAACTGGTCCCCAGATCTTACATCCAAGGGCCAGGCAAGGGCTGGCAGAGTCCTAAGCAGTTGGTTGGGCCAGCTAACAGACTGCAGTGCTGAGGAGCTGACACCCAGTTTAGTAGCTGCACTTTTCTCTCTAGCTGCGAGAGCCTAACAAGGCAACTTAGTTGCTTCCAGTCCTGAGAGACTAGTCACTTACCCCAGATCAACTGGTCCCCAGATCTTACATCCAAGGGCCAGGCAAGGGCTGGCAGAGTCCTAAGCAGTTGGTTGGGCCAGCTAACAGACTGCAGTGCTGAGGAGCTGACACCCAGTTTAGTAGCTGCACTTTTCTCTCTAGCTGCGAGAGCCTAACAAGGCAACTTAGAATTCTGGCCTCCCCGAGAAAGCCTCCCCCACCCCCACCCCCGCCCCCACGCTCAATAGGCACACGGGGCTTTTCACAGCAACGTGTGGGCCTGTGCAT